ACTTAGACAATATTAATATCATAATTATTTTTAGTTATTAGCAGTGAAAGTAAAATGATATAAAAGTTTATTAAATCAGAATGTATATTATTAGTGACGCAAATTTATAATTGGAAAGAGGACTTTATTTTGTAAACAATTATTATCTTGTCAAAACAAATTGGATTTTGGTGTTGTTCAAATGCACTATAATTTGTTAGATCATTTTGTAATGAAATTGATCCGAATAGACCAATCAAGCCCATCGATAGTAAGTAATAAAATTTGAACGGAAATACAATGGTATTATTAAGAGTTTTGACTAAGAACAATGGAATGGGGGACTTTGAAGTAAATAAGTAAAAGAGCTTAAGGCTAGAACTCCTGTGGTGCAGATATGGGGACTGAGCCCATAAATATTAGTAACATGTATTTACCTACATTTGAGGGTGGTGCCATGTTGGGGTTCATAGGTTAACTGACAGACCTACGGACAAAGCGTAGGTGGTTATTGATGGTAAATTAGCCAATGAAATGCATTTTTATATCCGAGATCATGGATACCCACTGAGCACAAAATACCCTGTTTTGGTCAGAAAAGAGCATTCCCGCTTTTATTCTCAAACTATTACACTTCTTTGGCATTTTATTATTCTGGGAATCATTATTTCGGACTTTTGATAAATTTTGCTATTTGGAGTTCTGTCTTAAAATCTTTACATTCTGGGACGGATCTAGTGAACATTATTGAGCATTGGTCTATACGAATCACTTTTCAAATTAGAAAACTATACGATCACAGAAATTGTAAATTGAAATTATTTAATAAACTTTTGAAATCGACGCAAGAGTTGTCATTGGCTTACATTGTTATCAATATTGCAAATATTGAGAGATTTGTCAAAATTTGTCTAAACTGATAAAGAAGTTTTCATTCCAGAAAAGTGAAATTATAATTGCTCCGAGGAATCCGAATATACGTGCAGATTTGTAGATATTTCTCCTAGCAGCAACAGGGGATTTTAAGCCTAATAATACATAAACAATCACTACAGGCGCATCAATAAATCAGCATTTGAATGTCCTATGCATAAAGCCTTTTCGTCCATGATCAGGGACACTTTCTGAATTCATCGTATCCTATAAGGTGTACATATATTGAACTTAGACAGAGCGAAATGCCTAAGTCTTAATAGTGTATGGTTGTGCTTTAAGGACAGATGAAACAAACAAATTTTCTCTTTGGAGGAGACTTAATATCATGTCACAAGTTTAGAAATGTGGATGGTTCTTAGAATTTGTTCTCCTAAGAACTGGAATATGAAAAAGACTTGGAAAATATTAGTAATAATCCAATGAAAAAACGAATATAGACGAATCACATTCAGTAAAGGTTTACAGGTGAAAATAAATTTCAGAATATGTTATCTTGGCGCTAATTTTCCGAGTCTATTTCATTTTCCAGTTCTTCGGAGAAAAAATTCTAAGAACCATCCACTTTTCTAAACTTGCGAAATGATATTAGATATTTTTCAAAGAAAAAAATTGTTTGTATCATCTGTCCTTAAAGAGACAAATGTGGTATCATGACAGATGACCACGATGTTATCGGATATAACCGTATACACACCATTCAAGGTTCCATTAATTTATCTATTTATTTCGTACCAATAACTCTAAAATATAACAAGTCGTATATGACACAGTCCATTTACATATACAGAGTAAGACAGTTTATTCCTCCCGTACTTTAAATATAATGCTACTGATACATTTATTTTATCAAAACAATAATAACTTTAAATGTCTGTTAATCATAATAAAAATGTTCTATCAGTATAGTGAATATCATTACTTTTCTCTATTGTCCCCAGCTGTCTGATTGACCGAAACTAAATCACATAATCAAGTATAAAATGTGTTATAGAATGGATGTTTCTATTTTGAAATTCTAAACAAATTACAAACATATTGTTCTAAAATTGGAAACGTTTTTCTGTGAAGCAACAATAGTGTTGACGTCACAATAGTATCTATAAACTGAACGTTTCCAAATAGAGATACTGCATATGCTATTCATTACTCTGATGTTATAATGCAAATGACATAATAATGCCTTGTATGAGGAAGGACTGAGTATTAAAAACATGAATTTTGAGACATTTATTATTAAATGATATAAAAAATAATACCAGTATAACAATTGTAGCCTTTTGCTTTTGGTGCAATACCTACGTATAGAGACCTTAGAGAAAGCATATTCACCTTGCACGATATGCTTTCTCTAAGGTCTATATATATAGGGATTGACCTCATCAAAAAGCTATAATTGTAAAGAATTAAATTTTCAGAATATAGAGTTATTCTTACAACTTTACTTGAAAATATAATGTGTACATCATCAGGTACGTATCGAGTTAATCCTTCCAATTAATTCTTTTCAGTCTGTGCGAGTTTTATTCTCCAGATCATAGAAAGGTTTTGTCTCTCAGTTTCCCAATGAGCGTGAGGCCACAATGGAGCTTTCCTATGGTGCTGAATTTGGTTTTCATGCATGTATGATGCAAAAACGTCACTTACGAATGCGGTCCATTATATGTAGTCATTGACACTGGCAACCAGATATCTGAACATTGTCTTCAAATTCTGTACAGTTTTTACTGAAGTAGTACATTTCATGACTTCCACTACCATGTAGCGAGGATAATAATCAACCAATACCAACAATGAATCTCCTGAAGTCAAGGGTTCTAAAAAGTCTGCATCAAGATTCTTCAGGCACAATTGGGTAGTGGCGTTCTAGCCATTGGTTCGCGTTTAGATGGTGTATTGACTAATTGTTTACCATAACAAATTCGACAATTCTTTTCCACTTCTTCGTCCATTCCTGGCCAGAAAAAACTGAAGAACGAAGATTCCGTTCATAAGTACAATTCCCGGATGCCCTTCGTGACCCAATTCCAATATCTTTGTTCGACAACTTCTTGGAATGACGATCCTGGTATCGCGATGAATGACATGGCCAACTGCACAAAGTTTAGTCTAAAAGGCAAGTATTTCTTGAATTCACAGCTTTCCTATGGTCCTGGCATCTTTAACAGTCTCGGATGCACGTTCAATTCCTTTTGTCGAAAAAGCTATAGTTGTAGCTGTCATGTTAATACAACTAACATACTCCTTTGTATCGTCATTTTCTTGAAGTGATCTAGCCAATTTCAAAACCAGCCTTGACAAAGAATCTGCAGTGTAGTCAAACAATTGTTATAAGAGAAACCATTTTTTTCTTTCCCCGCATCGACTTTAATTTGGGTGAAAATACACTCCAAAGGTCGGTGATCAGTCCATAATTTAAATTTTTTTCCAATGAAATGCATTTCGAAACGCTCACAATCGTATATGTAAATATCGTCTCTCCGCTTCAGAAAGCTAAAAACCCTTGTTTTTGAACAAGTACAGCACCCAATCCAAATGAACATCTGTTATTATCAGGTCTGTGCAATGACTCAAAATAGCCTAGTGTATTCGCCTTTGATAACTGAATCTTCAGCTCCTGGAATGCTCCAGTTTGCTTTAGTCCCCACTCAATTAAAAGGAACGTCTTTACGGGTTAACTTCTGTAACGGTTCTGCACCCGGTTCGGAATAAATCGACCACTTAACATTTCTCAATCTTCAAAGTGAGTCCACGATCACGCAGCCTTTGTAATACTTCATCTAGTCTCTAACATGTTCATCTGTAGGTTTACCATATAAAAATTTCATCGAAAATATCTGAACATCCTCCCAACAATCAAGTGTCTGTTGTATTACCGTATTGTACATTTCTGGCGCCCAACTTATACAAAACAATAGTCGTTTGTAGCAATATATTCCTTTGTGTGTCATGAATGTAATTAATTTATCGCTACTAGGGATCCAGATCTATCTGGTGGTAAGCTAGCTTAATATCAAGTTTAGAAAACAAATTGTACTTTGGCTAAATTGATGTAGTACCTCCTCTAAAGTAGGTATACGGTACCTTTCAATCAACACAGCTTGATACGTTATTTTCATATCCACACACACAATCGGATATCATTCTTCTTCGAAACAATTTCTACTAACGAAACCAATGGTCTTCGTTTATCTATCTAATCAACAATATCATGAAAAAATAGTTCATCTAACTTGTGTCCAAATTTTTTATTTAAAAGGTACGCAATTTGCTTGACAGGTTGAATCACAGGTGTCACGTTAGATTCAATTTGGATCTTGAGACTGTAATCCTTGAGTTTTCCTATTTCTGTAAAACATGTCGGAATTTTTTTTTTCAGTTGTGCTCCTTTATCAGTTGTGTACATGCGGACTTTGCAATAACAATAATTCCAACTGTTTAGCTGAATCTTATCCCAAATTTCCGGGTCTTTCCTTCTCTATCAAATAAAATTCTGCATTGATCCTCTGAGAATCAAGCTCAAAATCAGTTTGGAATGTTCCTCTGGCATTGCATGGCTTCCGTCCATAAGCGTAAAACTCTTTGTATGATTATGTTTTGCTCACACTTTTCACTTTGTCGGCCTTCAAAGATTCCTATAATTCTGCACCAAAGTCCACTAGTAGGTTGGTCTTAACTCCATCCACAAAAACATCCACGAAAATATGTTTGTTTTCATTCATGTTGTGATGGTTAACGGTGAACCCATATTCACTTGCAGTTGCAGCATCATCTTAACTTGGTCCTGTTTTCTTAGTCATTCTAGTCTTGCACATTTTTTCAAAATGACCCAATTTCCAATATTATTTGTACAGCTGATTCTTCGCTTGACGAGCCTGATCTTTTTTTTCACATGACATCTCTTTCCACTTGCAAAACATGTCACTAACAAGAACATGTAGTTTCTTCTTATTCCTGTACTGAACTCTTTTCATGGTCCCTGAAACTTGTTTTGTAGACATATGGGTACATCCCACTAATTATTTTTAGAATCGGTAGGAGAAGAAAGTAGTGCAGAAAAAATTCCAAGTTCCTTAATTTGCAGACTTGCATAAAAAAGATTGGGCAGATGTACTAAACTGAGCCTCACACTTGTTGATAAGGAGTATCTTTCCTACCAAAAAAGCTTGGAAAATGTAATTTATCAAGAAGATCAGCCGAATTATTTTTTTTGTATTATAACGCCAGTTACAATTCTGAATTTCCCCTACTTTCACTTTCATTTTTAGAGGTTCCCGCAGACAGACGCATTTTGCCGGAAAACGAATCTGACATGCCACCTCGAGATTTTAACCAAGGAAAGACAAGTTGATGTGCTTTGATTTGAGGGGTCACTCACAACCGAACGAAAATTAGGGACATCGCTATGAGAAGAAACGTTAACATTGTCGCCTATGGGAAAACAATTAGTGGACTGTACCCATATTAGGAAGCCTATAAGTAAGTGAAAGATGTCATAAATCTTGAATTTATTTCAAAGTTGGTGTTTTCTATTATTTTCAATTGTTCAAATTTATGAAAAAAACAATTCTTGAATTGTTGATACACATTTTTTAAACAAATTGATTCATAAATAAAGTGTCTAGCCCCCCCCCCCCCTCCCGGAACAGACAACATACTCATACATGTATCACCCATTGTTTACACATGTGTCATGTAGATTAAATGTATCGATTTATAAAATTTATTTATTCAGAATCATAAATGTATAATTTGATTAAGAAGCAATTGTATAGAAGTATATGCTCCACTGTGATTTTTTTTAATACACAAAAATTTACAAATGTGTTCGGGATCGGTATTCAATCGGGGTCAAGGTCGAAGTGAAAGTAGACTTAGCAGAAAGTTGTCAAAAGTGTTCAGTGCATTGTTTAGCAGTATATAGGTGATGGGAATTTGTATGTTACACAGGAGGCAAGAGGTATACCTTAGTACAATATTTGTAAATAACAATTTAATGTGTTTTGGAACATGTCGATGATCGGCACGTCACATATACATGACATACATCATTTCAGATCAGTTGCGCGGTGAAGCTGGTTACAGTTGTCTGGGAGTTAAACGATGCGTGTGAACATGCACATTAACTGGTTTCTCTCATATTTTTTAGCAATTTCATTACATGTATTTGTTGAATTACAATTATTGTCAGCAAAACATGATTTTTATCTATTCTGTTGAATTAACTTAATTACCTATATATGTTAACAGTGTGATTTCAGGTGGAAGCCAATTATTCATTTTTTAAATTAATTAATTTCAAGTAATGGGCATAAAAGGAATATGGTAAAATTGTACGTGTTGAATATCTCTGTTTCTGTCTGTCTGCAAATGTGATATTGTGCCATTTATTGTATTGATTTTTTTTTAGGTCCATGCAGATGGTGTTTAAAACTATTGGCCAGCAAATGCACGCCCATTTGAATACATCTTGAAACAGCACCAGCAAAGTGTGACAGTCGGCAAAATGTGTAAGTTAAAGTTTTCTAAAAAAAAAATTCATTGAAGTGGGGGATGGGGTGGGGGTGAGGAAATTTACATATTTAATAGGTGATCAGAATGTAAAAGTATTTAGTTATAACTAATCTATACATGCACTGCTATATACATTTTGCAGCTCATATACATTTTATTTATTTATTTAAGAATTTCAAATTGATTAGATCTACATCTTTGTTTTGTAAATTATGCATTATTAAGATTACACGGATATAAGAATTGAAATTTCATGAATATTTGACAATCAAAATTATGCTATTTGTCAGGAAATTCAAAATTTTGTCTCATTTTCCTACAAATTACAAAATGGTTTCCATGGAAACAAAACAACTTTAGTGGATTATTTATTTAATCTGCAAAACCACATATTTTCATTTTTTTAAAGTTAATAATAGTATATAAGCACTGATTTTGTCTTGAATAAAAAGTACGGGAAAACTAATGATACACATGTATTGAGGTATCCATTATTATGATGTCATTGTGACGTCATAGATGAGTAAATTTGCATTGGTATAAAAAATCCTTTGAAACAAATGATTCTATATGGGATTATAAAGGCTTATAACTTTTTTATTCATAGACCAAATTTCAGGAATGATACCTCAATGGACAGGAAATAATCAGTACTTTTTTATTTTACTACTTTCGGGGTATTTGTGAACTTCATTTTTTTGTCATTTCTGGAGAAACTATGAATTAGAGGGTGAAAAGTGGTCATATTTTGTGCGGAAATACATTATTTTTTTAAAATAAGTGAAATTGACCCAATTAAGTGCTTGATTATGATTTGACTATATGTATTTAAAGTTATGAAGGTGATTAAGAATAATAAAAATGTGTTAAAAGGCTAAAATTTGACTTAAAACTTGGGAACAGTTTTGGCTAGATTGGAGCATTTTTTAAGGATATTACACATAGAACTCTAAATGCTGTAAAATCTTAATTAATTGGTGAATTTTCACGAAACTTGGCATGATGTCTCTACTTATGCTCTAGATTGATAAACAGTATGAAATATTGTAAAATCAAAAAAAATGCTTTTCCATATTGGGTACATCCCACTAATTATTTTTAGAATCGGTAGGAGAAGAAAGTAGTGCAGAAAAAATTCCAAGTTCCTTAATTTGCAGACTTGCATAAAAAAAATTGGGCAGATGTACTAAACTGAGCCTCACACTTGTTGATAAGGAGTATCTTTCCTACCAAAAAAGCTTGGAAAATGTAATTTATCAAGAAGATCAGCCGAATTATTTTGTGTATTATAACGCCAGTTACAATTCTGAATTTCCCCTACTTTCACTTTCATTTTTAGAGGTTCTCGTAGACAGACGCATTTTGCCGGAAAACGAATCTGACATGCCACCTCGAGATTTTAACCAAGGAAAGACAAGTTGATGTGCTTTGATTTGAGGGGTCACTCACTACCGAACGAAAATTAGGGACATCGCTATGAGAAGAAACGTTAACATTGTCGCCTATGGGAAAACAATTAGTGGACTGTACCCATATGTGCGTCTTTTCCTTCCCTGACTAAAGCGTGTTTGTTTGCAAACTCAATACCTTGCCTGAGTCTTACTTTCTCTGAAGTTAAGTCTTTCATTTTAAACAGTTTTTTTTTTTTGCAGTCTATGTGACAAAATATAACTTTGACATGGTCTCTAACCATCTCATCTTGTACAATAAACAGCTAGTTCACGTAAACAAGTGATAAATTGTTCAACAGTTTCATTTACCTGCTGTGAAGTAGCTCTAAACAGTGAACGTTCTTATGGCACATTTATGGAAAATAGTCAAATAATAACTTACATGCGACGTCAAACACATTTTCATTTTGTCTTGGTTCTCGTTCTTCCAGTGTATAATATATATTCTTCAATTCATTACCAGCTGAATGTAGAAATAATGCCTTCATCCGAGCAGAGTGTGCATCTTCTTTTCCCAGGGAGTGTAACGAAAATCCACGCCACTTTTTCGACCGAAATCCCACGTTGTGTACATCACCTTTCGAATAAAATTTTGCTATTCCTCCTATTTCTATGGTTTTCTTCTTCGGCATGAATAACATGTTGGCTTTTCTGATTAATCCTCGTTGCCAAATTATGTGGGGTCGTGACAGATGATCACGATGATACTGGATTAAACCGCAGACATTGATAAACAAACATTTATGGTCCCATTACTTTATATAATTAACTCGTACCAAAAACTCTTTAATACATAAAGCCGTATATGAAATACCCCATTTACGTTTTTTACAGAGTAAGACCCTACAACAAGCCTTGTATCTATTGCTGCAAACTATTTGTAACGTTTGAATAAGATATTTAAAATATCAATGGTAACTTAAAGCTTATAGACAGTATCTACATGTATACTTGCTCTTCTTATACACTATAACATTTTTGGTCAACAAATGTTTGTAGTGTCAATGTAATACAGTTGACTGTGAAAGCTTATTGCAGATAAAGCAGCATTTTCAAACCCTTTTAATAAAAATTTTTAAGTCCACATATTCATAGGAAAGATAAACCCTTGTGATTTACGAATCTGTTCAATGTCTTTGATACTGCCTCATATGCACTCTGTGAGTTGACAGACATAGATGCTGTAAAAACTCGTTCTATTCGTGTTCAATTGCAGTATCTGTAATAGGTTGAGGATAATTTTCGCAAATAGTGCTATCCTCCTGACAAATCCCCACTGTTTGGTGATTATGATATCAGCTGTATTTTCGATGCCTGGTTTGTGTGGCCTTTAGTTTATTTTTAGATGTTGGTATGCCTACTTTAATAGTATGGTATAAATTTCATTTTTTTCATAGGAAATCAGTCAATCTACAGGTATAGATACCATAGGCCCATATCTAATTAAATTTACTGCACAAATGATGTGATTGACTATGTGACACATATAATCAATTATGGTATATTGCATTTGGTATTTCTCCAGGGAGTGTGAAACTTTTAAAAGTTACTCTTTTTTGAAAGGTGATTAGTAAGATCCGAATAATTAAAGAATTTTTTTTACACTTTAAATACACACTCAGCCAGCCATAACTTGAATAACCGGATGTTATGACATACAGGCTGAATAGAAAAACAACTACCATTTGTACTTCTAAGGTAAAATTGATTTTGGGTGATACTTATTATATTCATTCATATATATAAATATGACAATGTCTTAGACGTAATTGTGATGTACATGATATTGGCTAAGAAAAAATTACATTGAATCATTTTTTTCACTTGATTTTAGAAAAGATAGTATACGCATAACAATTTACTTTGGTTTTAGCACTATGCATATTGAAAACGTAAAATCACATTTAGGGACATAATGAGCAGTCTGTTCAGAAAGAAAATATTTTGATACCATTCCTACCTGATTTAGATTGTCAAATATGCTTCAAATGTGTAAGCATTAAATGTATTTAATAGAATAATTCTTATTAGACCAACAAGCCGGTAATAGCGATCAAATTAGATATAATATATTTTAATTTTAAAGTCTTTGTTCTTTATATTCTTAATCATTTACGTTCTTTTTACATTATACAAGGTACATTGTCATTTAGCATGGGTAATTGCCAGACTTTTGTTCATTTTTTATTTCAATCATTTGGAAAAAAAATAAAATAATGGTAATAATGATGATAATAATATAAAATAGTAATAACATAATAAAAATATAATAATATAAACTTGCAAACAACGGGTAGGTCTTTTTTCGATTTTCCATAAAGATAAGAATTTGAATAAGATGGTCGTTGAATAATTATAATGATGCATGAATAAAGATTTACTTCATTAAAATTTCCTTTCTTTATTTATGCTACAAAATCTTGAGCATTTCTTTTAATATCCCCTTTCTTTCGACAAAAAACGGGAAATATTTTGCATTTGCCCCATTTATTAGGAATTCATTAGAATGACATTTCTGCTTCAGTAATTTACGATAACATTTTATCAATTTAAGATTTATAATTGAATGTTTTAACTATTTTTTCTTTTAATAATTTATATTTTTGTCTGGAAATTAATCCTCCACATAAAATAATCATTTTTCTTCAACTGTTAATGAGCATTTTAAGATATATTCCATACTTAAATATCACCAAATAACATGAAAAAAGAAAAAAAAAATAATTAAATTCTTCTTGCAGCAGAGAAAACAAATCAGGTCTAATTGCATCTGAATCTTACCAAGATGATTAAATTTTAAAATTCAATCAGCAATTGTTTATTATATATTGACACTAATATATATATATATATATATATATATATATATATATATATAGTTTTGTGACAGGCGGATTGTGGGTTATTTAGCGTCTTTTACACTCACGTTGTGGGTATCATGGATGGTTTGTGGGTCATTATATATTGACCCACAAACCACCGCCTCAAAAACTTGTGTATTGCTATAATATAAACCATATTTTAATATTTTACAAAAAAAAATATTTTGACCCATAATTACATTAATCAAAAATGACCCACAATGCAATTTTATATACATCAATTCTTACCACTCAGTGGATTGGATGAATTTTGTGTGTGACCCACAATATTCTATATACTTTCCAACTACTCACTGTTCT